AAAAAGAAAGAAAACCATGAACAAATGAATGATACTGTAAAAAGGTTCTATTTTATGCCATACATTTACATTTCACAATAGTGGAAACAATATTTCAAGCCCTTGGGTTTGCTCTAATGGCAATTACACAACCCAAGCTGACACCCCTCCAGGCACCTGCCAAGCTGACATAGAACATATTGTACACTGCAATATTGCAACTGTCTGCATGAAGACAAGGCAATATCTAGAAGCCGCCCTGCTCTAGTTTTCAGTGTCAGACCCACTCATCCTTCTTTTCTAAACAAATATATTTACTAAAGCTATTGTAAGAAAATTATTATCTCTAATTGTTCACTGACAAAAACAAATGCTCCAAATGGATGTGAATTTAATGGCTGTGGAAACACCATGCCCTCATTAAATCTACCTCATTCAGCACATCCATTCATGTCTCATGACAATACTATTTACCTGACTGTGCAATCTTTTAGCTTGGGCATCATCTTATTGCATTGGTATCAGTAACTTTTGGTTTAAAACTAATATAAGAATATTCCAAGTATCCATGAAAACATGTGTTATAAAAGCAGACAATCCAGAGTTCAGATTAAGTGCAACTCAACACATTAAGACAGGTAACTATACATCAGGGACATCTAGAACTTCAGATTTTCTTTTAATGCTTCTGTGTTATAACAACCATACAAATATAGTTTTTACATAAAAGTGTTTGTAGGTCTGGATTGGATAAAAATTATTTTAAGAGCATGTTAAATATATTGGTTTCTATTTTGTTGTTGCTGTGTTGGTTTTTTTATATACTTTATTCCTCTGCCACTTCTTTAAAACAGTGGAATTGATGATAACTTTAATTAATTAATTTCATGAAACTTATACTTTAGGTGAATAATCTTCTCAGAGAAAAATACATACAAAATACAAAATTAATATTCTCACCAGCTATAGTAATCAAGGCTCTTGTGGCACTTCAAAAAAATCCATAAAGCTGTTAATTCTTGATTAAATTATATCTTAGGTAGATCAGTTTACTCTCCAATTCCAGTTAGACAGTTACAGTCTTCATAACTTCTGTTACATTGCCATAAATCAGCACAATCCAAGTGGTTACACTTCAGTGGAAGGGATTCACTTTCCATGGCCTGCAAAATACTTTATGATTCTCTGAAATAGTAGTAGTAAAAATCATGAAGTCAAGAAATAAAATTCCACCATGGGCTCAAATTTGTTCATTGAGCTAAATTTATTGTATTTTTTATATCAGGAAATAATTTAGCCAAATCTGAGTGGAATTTTTAAGTATCAAATATGTTTTAAATAAAACAATTTTGATTCTTAATTTGTGGGAAAATACCCTTTCCCATTGCCTCTCTCCACTACAAACCATTACGTATGATGTTGTTTCGTGAAAAATTCCCTCAGTCTCTCCTCAATTAACTTTAATTGCTCAGTCTGAAAAATAAAACAAGGTGAAGTGTATTTTATCACTTCATGGTGTGACATGATGTGTCAAATAAAAAATAATAATAAAAAAGATTTGGATTTTTCAGCATCTTCTTTGTTGATGTTCATTCAAATTATTTTTAATTATTTGTTCCAATTCTAATTATCTCTATGCTTGAGTAAAAATGATGGCAAAATCACAGATGTTCAGTGCAAGAATGAATTATATATGGATTATTTCTCTGGAGTTAAGATATAAATCTTTCCTTATGCATCAGAAACAAAAAGAAGCATGGAAGTATCATGAAAAACATTTCATCTGAATAATTATATTTTCATTAATTGTGTTATAGTAGGCCATTAAAACTAAGAAAATAAAAAAAGGAATTTGTTCCCACACAACATCTGAATGTTATACATTTGCTTTTTTCTTAAGGAAGTAAAATGTCTTTTTCTTTTTTTTTTTCTGATGGATATCCAGTAAACAATAATATAGTATGTTCATTTGTCAAGGGAAGTGAGATATTAGGAGGGGTTTTTTTGTGTTTAACTCGTCAATGAAGAGGTCATATACATTGTTGTGTTCTTGTAGCACTTTGGTTTTGCTTTATTAGTTTTGTATTACTAATTATTTAAGTATCTTTTAATCACATTCTTTTCAGTAAGAGCACACAGAAACCCCACACTCCAACAAACAAACAATCAGACAAACCCCCCAAGAATTAAGTTGTGTTCCATATCCCTTTAAATGATTTAAAAATATATTGTGGTCATCTAATTCAGAGATATTCCAGAGCTAAAGAAATCTGTAATTTTGAAAGACGTGGTGTCTGGCTCTGTTTGTTGCTTTATACGTAGGCAGATTTTTTCCCCCTATTTTTAAGTAATGAATTATTTACTAACACTTCCGTATCTTTGTGCTTCCCAAATAAATCCCATACAATGGAACATTTAATCTCTCACAAATTAGAATTTTCAGGTGAAGACAGTTTGATAAAACCTTCCAAAGACCCTTCAGGTTCATTATTTTGCTTTTACAGCAAGTAACTTATAAGTTGTTGTTGCAAATTGGTAGCTATCAAACCACATAGGTTGCAAGGAATCTGACAGATGTTCCCAAACACCTGTATCAGTTAGAATGCCACTAAAATTCATGAACCAGAATGTATTTCTGGTGAGGGTATATATATTGAAGCACTACTTAATTACAAGCTATTACAGATCCCTAAAATATTGAAATCAGCAGCTTTTCTTATTTAATGACTGGGCTTTTTCCTTGATCTTCTGACAGGTCTTGAGGAGATTAAATAAAGGAAGGGGTGAGCCATCATCATCTCTATGGCTGCATCTGAAGATCTTCCTGAAATGCAGACATAAGTTTTGTGCTCTTTCATCCCTGCTGTGTTGATTTCTATTGCTGTCTTTTTCCTCTCACCTGTCTTCAATCTTTTTTACTTTACCTTCCATCTATTAAGAGCCTGACTTAGCAAAGCAGCTGGCAGAACATAGCTGGGGCCAGTTTGGCACATTAAAAGCAGTACTATGTTCAATAGTTTTTTTCTAAGGACTTAACTGCAGGAAAGTGAGAAAGTGACTGCTTTTTTTTGTTTGGTTGGTTTTTTCCATTTTCTTATTTTTTTCTTTGTCCATCTATATATAGTATGTGCCTATTAATACTTAGTTTGTCACATCCCATGGATCTAAGAATGTGGAAGAAATGCCTGAAAATAATTTTCTTATACTCCTTCAGAACATTTTCAATAACATTTTCTATTAGAATTTACAAATAAAAGTTCTTGGGTTCTTTTCCCCCTCATTCATACAGAGACTTTAACAAAATTAGAAGGCAATTATTTAAAGCAGCATATTTTCAGCTTTTCAGTTTCAGTTCTTTTCTACATGGATTCTTTTTATTTCATTGTATGTGTAATTAATGTTAAAAGTAAATTCTGGCTTGGTAATGTGCAAGTAGTGTAAGAATATCCTCCAGCAGAAACCCAAACTGAAATTACTGTCAATAATGGAGAGAGGGAAAAAAGCTCAAGTATCATTAAAATCTGCCTAATTTATCCAAGCAGAACCCTAACATTCTAGCAGCTTTTATTCTCTAGCAGCAAGGAAAATGCTCTCCCTCTTTTACATCTCTAGTCATAACTATAGCAGCCTTCACATAATTGAACTATTGCAGTAATCTCATCCAGCATACGGTATCAACCACTTTGCCAAAAAGTGGTGGCTCTGGATACAGGAGTCAAGTGAAAACAAATGAAAACAATTAATCTATCATCCTGGGAAACAAAGGTGAGACTAATTGATTAGAAGTACAGATCTCATTCTTGTAGATCTCCACTCTATGTGAGGTAAACAAATGAAAAAAGAAGACAATTTTCAGATCACCAGCAAGAAATTAATTTCAGAATAATTCAGATTCTAATTAGGATCTTAATAAAATACTTAAAACAATTACTTTTAAGATACATACTTACATTCACATCGCATTATAAACTATCACTTGTCAGGAACACTTAGAATTTTATTTTTTTCCAGAAAGATGTAAGTCTTACCTAACACAATGTTTGTAAAGAGCTTACAATAGCATTCACACATTACTGAACAGATAACTAGATTCTCTCCTTCTGAACAGCTACTAACCTAAATGAAGTGCAAGAACTCAAACTGACTCAGAAATGTACTCATATAAGCTATCTACCTACCTATAGTATTGGTTTGAACACTCTCCTCCGAAAGGCAAAATGCTGAGAAAGAAGAATTTCTGAAAAAGAAAACATCATACCTTTTGTCTTTACGTGTCTTGTTCCTAATTCATTGTCATCATGGCCATGATAAGGTCCTCTGGCCTTTGAAATGCTGAATTCTGCCATTAATTTTATGTGCTTAGCAAGGGTGGGGTAGGGTGAAACATGCACGGTTTTATGAAGGATTAGGAGAAATAAATCTTTTTGATTGTGTTTTTCTGCAGTGCTTGCACGACAGGATTCTGACACTTTATTGTAGCCTCCAGATAAACCTGCTATATAAAATGACAACAATAATAATTATGAAAAGTGTCAGCAGATAGGTTTTTTCCAACCTATACTCAGGAAAAAGCTCTCTATCCTGTCATTCATGCTATGCACTGAAGATTGGTGTTCATCAGTCATGACTCTTGGTGATACAGCACGTGGAACAGACAACCAGGCCTTGCATAAAGCAGTTG